ATATGTGATAAAAAAAATGACGTAAAATTGAAATATTTTCTCATTCCATTAATGGCTTTCACACCAGATGTGTGTGTGTGTGAAAACAACACTTCACTACTCAGATAAACTTTTGTTCAATATCAGAACTCTTCAGATGGGTTAAATGATGAGCCAGAAGTTTACCTGAAACGTAATTCGTATTTGTGGTACAAGAATTTTAGTTTCAGAAACTGAAATCCAACTTTATAAGGTTATACAGTTCAAAAGAATAAGAACTTATAACTGATTTTATAACTGTAAAGGCAGCCAGTGATAAGAATAACTTTGTGTATTAATCTGCTAACAATTGAAATAAAAAGCAGACTTTTTTTCGGCCAGGGTTTTATACAAGTCATGAACGTACAGGGAAAAATTACAGGGATGCTTATAACACAGTATCATATATAGTGCGTTGCAGTTAGTGTCGTGTGATGTAGTATTATTTACAGTATCATATGGTGTACTACAGTGTTATACATGTATTATCGTATAGGTCCCCTGATGGATCAACGGTAAATTCACGGGCTTACAACGCTAAAATCCTAAGTTTGATTCCCAGAGGTGGACAGAGCGCATATAGCCTATTGGGGAGCTTTGTGTTAAAAACAAATGATAAACGTATAATACAGCACAGTATGATATAGTGCAGCACAGTGCAACATAGTATTGTGTACAATGATTTAATATAGCACAGTGTAGTGTAGTAATGCGATACAACACAATATAATGTCGTATAGTACCATACAATATAAGATCTGCTTTTTCTTCTGGTCTATCAGTTCATAGTTAGGGACGGTTATTTACGCATATAGTATTTGTGTAGCTTTGCGCTATATTGAGAAAAAACACTTAGTTAGGCTTCTTTTCTTCGATACGAACAATAAAAAAAACGATTTTCTGCACTTCTAAAGTCAATTTAGACCACGTTACGGTGAATATTTGTGTGTTTTGTGGCAGTGACCAGGATTCTGCATCATAAAATATACAGAAAAAATTCAACAAAGTTTATCAGTAGTTTTCAACTTCGGTATGTTATTTGAATTTCGTGCAAAGCTACTCGAGGGTTATGTGCTTTAGCCGTCCCTAATTTAGAAGTGATAGGAAAGGCAACTGGTCAGTATCACCCACCAACAACTCTTGGATACTCTAACCAAATAGCGGGATTGATGGTCACATTATAATGCCCACACGGCTGAGAAGGGCGAGTATGTTCGAACCTGTGACTCGCAGTTTGCGAGTCGAGCGCCTCCTAAACACCAGGGCTATGCCAAGCAGTTGTCAGGTTGAGTACTTACTGTGTTTTATAATGTTTTCTACTGTATAGAAGGGTAACTCTAGTGA